TATCCGTGAATGTGGTCAGCAAGCTGGCTTGGCATGTGTAGTACATATCATGCACCCAATAGCCGGGTCAAATGATACATAAAGGACCCCTCCACATATATATATATATATATATATATATTTGGTTAAACCCAAAAAAGGAACTACAATGGAGACTATAGGTAAACCCTCCCCAAAAGCTTCAAAGAAGCCTTCTCTGCGGCCTAAACCCCGGATCCGCCAGAGCCCAAACCCACGAAGAACCCCTGGAAACGGTTTAGGGTTTACGGTTTAGGGTTTAGGGTTTAGGGTTTAGGGTTTAGGGTTTAGATTTCCGGATATTCTGGTTTAGGGCTTGCTTGCAAGGGCTTTAGTGTTTGGGTTTAGAGTTTAGGGTTTAGGGTTGAACAAAAAAGCTTCTGGCATTTCTGGCGTTCTATAATCAGTCTCGCCGAGGTGCGTCGCCGCTCCTCCTCACTGCCTTGCTCACATCATGGGTAAAAGGGGCGTAAAGAAACAACCTTCTGGGTCTTCCTCCCCCAGTTTCCGACCAAAAGGTTTAGGGCTTAGGGGGTTTAGGGTGCTGAATACCACGTAAACCCTAAACCCTAAATCGATAGGCCATAGGTCCTGGAGCCATGTTAGTCCTAACTACAAAGCTTCCGAGTTCCAGCCCCGATCTATGGCGGAGTGCTACACTGACGCATCACGGCCGGTAGCGATGCGGAAGAGTGCAGTCTTCAGACGATCGGATGAAGGCCTTACAGTTGCGACACGACGAAATGCAGTAGAACAATGGGAATACGTCGAGTGCACATCTGCCAAGCCACTGGTAGAAATAGTGGCGGCAAAGGTACAAAAGGTCAACGTAAACGGTAGCGAATAGGACGAAGACTGTATAACAGATTGTCTTGATGCAACCATTCCCCCCTTCTCCACGATCCCCCAAGAAAGGAAAAGCATGTTACACCACTACACTGGGGAGCCAAGCAGTTTCTATCAAACAAAAATGTACGAAAACAAGTATAACATAACTTTTTGCTTGTGCATATAAACCAATATATATACATACATACATATATATACATACACACACACACACATGTGCGTGTAAATGAACGCGAACAGAATTGTTTATATACAAAGGACCAACTATCTCAAAATTGTGCTACTGTCACATACGTGGCATGCAAACATGCATGCACGCATGAATACATGCATTCACACTTGCAATCATACGTGCATACATACATGCACAAAGACGGACGGACAGACGTGCTAACTGTTGGAAGGTGAGAGGACGAGCAAAGCAAAGAATGAAAGAAGGAAAGAGAGAGGAGGGAGGAAGGGAGGGAGAGAGAGACGGAGAGAGAGAGAGAGAGAGAGAGATATATATATATATATAATCAGAATAATAATGATAGTAATAATGATAATAATAAAGAAAGGGCAAGCGCGAACGAGAGAGTCGGCAGCCCTAGGCTGACCCCAAGGCCCGGGCGATCGCGGCGGGCGGGGCGCTCCTCCGGGCTGCCTCTGGTTCTTCTAGCTCGTGAAACGGTTTAGGGTTTAGGGTTTAGGGTTTCACAGCTCCAGAAGGAATTTCGGAACTTTTGGGAGTAGATATCAGGGATCTTTGGGTTTGTGCCGATAAGGTGCAAATTTGCAGCTAGGGGTCGTGTTGGGCCCTGCAGTGTGCGGTCTTCAAGCCTCGACCGAAACAGCTCAACAAAGCCTGCGCATAAACGGGCTCGACGTCAGCAGGAACCCTCCCAACGTGACCAACAGTCCTGGCGAGCGTATCGCACAGCCCAAGCACTAATGGATCGGTCTCCCCAGCCCCCGAACAAATCACCAAAGTCTTTAAATTATGACATGACATAATTGATTATAGTATACGAAGGTCATGCTCTTGAGCCTCCAAGCTTCGCATCCCAAACGCGGATCCTACCAACAAACTACAATGCCGCTTGACTAAGGAGTATAGTCGCTCAGGTATAACACGGGCTCTTAATGAGGTACAGTAACCTGAGGGATCTCCTCTGAACATCGGTTAAGCCAAGCTTCTGTAGTACATCTTTAGCCCCTTAAGCAGGGGGCCTTTGATGAGGAAACGCTTTGAAGTTTGGAGGCCCCCTATGGGGTTTGTAGTATTTAGGGCCGGCTTTTCACCGGGGCCGCAACGCTCACGACGCCGTGGCGGCTCGCCTTAGCCATGATGTCGGACGACATTTCAACCGGTTGGATGCAGATTACTGTCGACGACCCAGCTGCTTGCTATGATCATACACTGTATCCGAAACTCCTGCCTTAGCAGCATCAGTGGAAAAACAAAACACTCACGGCATAGGTTTAGGCTTTAGGGGTTTCGGGTCTAGAGTTCAGGTTTCCTCACAATCGAGTTCCAAGAAGCCCGAAGAAGAGTGGAGAACCAGGTCAGTCTTGCCCTAAACTCCCAAACCGGCAACTATGGAGCTCCCAGAATCCAAAACCCTAAACCCATGAGCCCAGACTTCTACGGTATTGGGTTTACGCTTTAGGCTTTAGGCTTTAGGCTTTAGGCTTTAGGCTTTAGGCTTTAGGCTTGAGGCTTTAGGCTTTAGGGTTCAGGGTTTAGGGTTCCGGAATTAGCAGAGTATAGGGTTGTAGTAACCCTAACACCCACCTTCCGCAGTCCTACCGCAAAGCATCAACCACTGCGGACCCAAACGCAATCTAGGGGTCTCCATAAGTTCCTATACCATTTTGGGGGTTCCTTATACCACAAAGGACTCCAAAACCCTATTCTAATCTATAATAACCCTCAAGCCGCAATCGCAGCCGCTTCCTCCCTGGATCCCTCAGCCGGAAAGCCCGACTAGGAGCCCAAAGGCGCAAAACCACAGATCCCACACCAACATCCTGGGTTTAGGGTTCAGGCTATAGGGTATATAGGGTATAGGGTATAGGGTTCAGGGGTTTTAGGGTTTAGGGGTTTAGGCCCTAAACCCTAAACCCCAAACCCTAAACCCTAAACCCTTAACCCTAAACCCTGAACCCTAAAACTTTAGGGTTTAGGGCTTAGGGTCTAAATTCTTAATCCCCCCATCCCTTCCGAGGTGGCGGCGCTCGCGCCTCCGGTCCCCACCGCGGCCTGACTACGGCAAAGAGCCACGCATTTTGCAAGAGCTTTAGGGTTTGGCTAGGATTTAGGTTAGGATTTAGGGTTTAGGGTTTAGGCTAGGGTTTAGTTTAGGATTTAGGGTTCAGGGTTTAGGCTAGGGTTTAGTTTAGGATTTACGGTTTAAGGTTTAGGGTCGTGCTTGTCGGAATAAAGCTCAGGGCGTTAGAGTCTCAAACGGGTTGGAGGTCGGACCCCAATCGATCTATAGGGCTTGCGGATAAGGGGCGAGCGGTTTGTCAGGGCTTCAAAGGCTTCATAGATATTTCGCCATTTGCTGCACTAAACCCTAAACCCCTAAACCCTAAACCCTATAAGTCAGGTGATTTAGGGAGTTGTAGGACTGCGCAAGTTTCTTATCCATTGAACTGTTAAGGGCTGCGAAGCATTTTTCAAGCTACTACTGGTCACTACCGCTTTCTGTAAAGCTTTGTGGGATCTTCAAACAAGGCCTGCAAAGGTTCTGTCGTGCTTTCTTCTTCCGTTCCGGACCTTTCAAAACGGATACAAGCGTGTTCGTAGTCTAGAACTGAGGATTCGTACTGAAACAGAGGCGCCTTAATAATTAGAATGGGGTTTTGGGGTCCATTATACTATAACCATAATAAGGAACCCCCAAAATGGTATAGGTAATTAGACTAGTACCAAGACAGTCTCTGATGCGGGGAAAAAGCATCAGCCGAGACTGCCAGGTGCCTGTTAGTCGTGCGAGAGTGCTCTTAGCCGTTTACAGTGGTAGCGGAGCCTCCGGTTGGGACCGGGGGCCTAGGTCGTTTGTTTTCTAGGGAGCACTCGAGTTCGATTAACAGACACCTCGTGTCTGCGTGCAGCGATGGCGACAGCAGGGGAGATACCGATCCCGGAGGACGAGGAAGACGGCCCTCCGCCCGGATACAGCCCTGCGCATCGCCGGGATGAAGAGGAGTTCGCTGATTTTCAGCGGTGGCTCCGAGAGAGAGACGTCGGGGAACCAGGCGGCCAGCACGTCAAGATGAAGATGACGACGACGGCGACGACCAGTTCCGCACGAATGCGGGGCCACCGCCGACCTGGGACGGAACCTCGACACCCTTCGAAGATTACTTGATCAGGGCGAAGATCTGGTGTAGCACAACCAAGGCGAGGCCGCGTACTCGCGGACCCCTCCTGCTCAAGGCGCTCGCCGAAACGCCCTTTCAGGACTTCAAGTACCTTGCGAAGGACAGCGGCTGGCTCAATGACGTCAAGAATGCCGACATCCTCTTGGATAAGATGAACAGTCCGGAGTACTACGGGGACGACCAGGATGAGCATTTGTTGTCAGCATTGGCCAGGGTGACGTACCACATGAAGAGGCAGAAGCAAGAGACGGCGAGGCAGTTTCTGGCGAGGTGGGAAACTGCAGAAAGGAAGGTCAAGGAGCACCGCGTGGACCTTCCCAGCGTCTACAGGGGGTTCCTGCTGATCAATGCCCTGGGTCTTTCGGAGGCCGACATCAAGGCCCTTCTGAATTACACCCATGGGTCGATCGAGCCCGGTGAAATCCGGACATGGCTTCGCAAACATGAGACCAAGTTGCAGGCCAACCAGCTCGGTGCGGAGACGCAGGTGCCTAAGGCCCGGACGGCGCCATCCTCAGCCTCTTCAAACAGCGCCCACTTGGTCGAGAATGCCTCGACAGCGACCGCGGACGCCGAGGACGGCGAGATCGAGGAGCTCGAGACGCTCTTGGCGGACCTTGCCGAGTCCGACGAGGAGCCGTTCACCGATGAGATCGGCCCTCTGGAGGAGGCCGAGACGGCGGAGATCCTGTCGGTCATGCTCAAGGAGCGCAAGAAGAAGACCTTCGTGCAGTCGAACCAGATCAAGAAGGAACGGGAGCTGACGCGCGGCTATGGCACGCGCCATGCAGCGGGCTCTGCCGGGCCGATGAAGACAGGCGTCTACCGGCTGAGCATCTCCGAGCTCAAGAAGCGCACCCGATGCAAGGGATGCGGAAAGCTCGGCCACTGGAAGCGTGAGTGTCCGGACAACAACCAAGCCGAGAAGGCCACACACTTCCTGGAAGTCGAGCTGGAGGATGAGGCCGACGCCCTCTTCGGTCACCACCTGGAGCACGAGCCGGCCCCAGGACCTCTTGACAAGAGAGTTTTTGATGATGAGCCAAAGAGCTACGGTAGCGAGATCGACAGATCGTTGTCGCAGCCCAGCCAGGATTACACTGCGCCCGCAGTTTGTGATGTGTTTTATGGAGAAACTGTTGAAGACGATGAAGCTTGTGCCACAATTGACACCGGTTGTCAGAGAACGGCTGTGGGTATAAACACTCTTAGGACCATGAT